GACCTTATGAAGTCCTGCTGAGACAAAATTTGGGTAAGACATGACTACACACACGCGACTGAACCTGTCAGGCCTTTCACATTCACAATGAGTGAATCTGACAATGTCGCATCATGACTTCACAGTTTATCACTGATTCAGTTTTAAAATGCCAACGTTCGTACATTGCTAAATTGGACTCTCAGTTATAGCTAAGCTTAAAATCTTGTGGATTTCACCATAGTATTTTGCACTAACGTTATATCAGCAGATTTATTTGATCTGTTTGTTAATTTTATCTTCTCCTTCAGTTCTTCTTTTAAGTGTTCTATCCACACTGTTGGTGATCATGATTGGGATGGCAGTTTGTGTCTATAAACCTCTTCGACGCAGGTGACTATCCCTATGGATGAAAGAGAAAGATGCCGGGAAATGAACACTACTATGGCGAAGGCTTGCTTCTGAATATTAATGAGCCAGTTCTTCGCCATTGGCCAAGAACACTACAACGTCAGCACGAATGAACTACGTCACTCGGTATTGAAGGTTAGCTACAAATCAACGTTAGTAGGCTATGCCCAAATTTATTGGATGAAACCCTTATCTTCTTCCCTTAAACACTTAATGTCAGTGTAATTGAGGTTAAATATCCATGTGGGTCGTAGCCTATAAGAAAAAAATATTGTAATTTAAGTTGTTAAAATTGAACACTATTTCAACCACGTTTCCTCAGTGTGCACCGTTTGTAAGCTACTAAATTGTATAGCTACTGTGTGAATTTATACATATTTATTTATTTATTTATTTGTTTTGGTGTATTTATTGTTATATGTTTATTTGACCGGTTCTGGCAGTTCAGACATTTTGCATAGGCCTACTGAAATAAATGTCAAAACTTGAATCTGTATGAATGTGTTCAAAATAAAGAACTGAATGAAACAATGCCTAATCAACACGTTAAAATGTTCTAGTTTAAATTATGTTTATCTACACTTTTAAAGTACAATGGTTGTTTTTGGTAGGCTATCAGATCGTAATACCATGGTATGAAATAATTAGCATATTTACATCACATTTGCTCTAATTCTCTCTACTTTGTGTCGTCTCCTCAATGATATCCCACCAGCTCCTGTGTGAATATCTTCTCATTATGGGGGAGAGAACTCATCCTCCTAATCCAGTTGCAGATGGCAGATGGATTCTTATGTATAGCCTATATTTGCATAATGGTTTTTAAGAAGGTGGTCCACAAGCCAAACACCTGCTGAGCTGAAGTCACGAAGACAGTTGCTTCGGGTAATTTACCAATATAGCGCAAGACACTTGAGCTGATTAAAGTCAAACAATCCAAATGAGTGAAGAAAACAATTTCCTGTGAAATTAAAGGCTTTTAAAGTAAAATCGAATACAAGCTGTAGCATTCAGGATCCTTCTTTTACATCATGTAGCAAAATATGTATCTATAGTAAACAGGACTGATTCTGACTTGATACATGAAAAAAATGTATTTGACAGTTCGACTGAAATTGCTACAATAGGTTTGGGAAGTAAACAAGTCGATCAACTTGCACGAACACTGGAGGACAATTAGCCTATAATTTATTTAAAATTACATGAATGCCAACCAAGCTGCTGGTCTATTCACTTTGTACTAAAATCAATCCCACTTCCCATCGCTATTTAAAGGGATAGTTCACCCAAAAATGAAAATTCTGTCATTTACTCACCCTCAAGTTGTTCCAAACATGTACGAGTTTCTTTCTTCTGCTGAACACAAAATAAGATATTTTGAAGAATATGGTAAACCAAACAGGCCAAGGCCCCAATGTCTTCCATATTAAATATGTATGTATATATATATATATATATATATACATGATGCTTTTTTCAATAAAGATTGTTTCACAGCTTTACAGTAATAACAGGAAAATGAAGCAGCAAAGTTTGTTTCAGCTGTACAGCAGATCTAGAAGAACAAAGAACAGTGTTATAGTCCATCTTAAGTTTGTTTGGTTCATTTCTGTTATAAAACACAATATTTGCTGTGTCCATAACTGACTGTACAAAAAACATTTAACTATATATGTAATTATGAAAACCCAATCATCTATCAGTAGTCAGCCTTAATGTAAAGTTGGATGCATTTGACACTCCATAAAATTCCTCCTCCAAGTCAGCTTCTTTAAAACGGTTTCCTTCACTTTCACACGTGATCTCAATAAAATCATGATTTCATTCCTAGAGACGGCTGAGATTGACTGAACACTGCCTCAAACCACTGCTGACATACAGCTTTCCTCTGCCAACACATGGCACTCGAAGCTCTGTTGGTGCCAAGACAACCGTTCACATCTAATGCAGGGACCTGTTCAGAAAATGTCACAACACAATTTCTCGTGATGTACCCTCATGTGTGAGGCTAAACGATCAAACCTCATTGTGAGCCAAGTTCTCAAGATCTCAAATGCTCTTTTTTGAATAATGTTACTGTAATTGTCACAGGGAAAACATAACCAGAAATAGCATTAACACACTTTCCACTAAGAATATTTGTGATGGATACATTTTTTCAAAAAAAAAATAAATAAATATATATATATATATATATATATATATTAAAAAGCATTCAACACAAAAAGACAGTTTGTTACACATCAGAACAGTGCCATCTGTTGGTTTGTTTAATAAAATTCAAGATGCACAGGAGATGGATAGACTTTCCTGAAATAAAAGTTAAATAAATTGATAGATTTGAAATGACCGTATTAAAAAACAGAGCAGCATGAATATTAAGACAAACGTGTAAATAACTAAAAAAAATCATTGATGTATCTTGCCACCAAAACGTTCAAAGTATCAGACATGTTTCACTAATAAACAAAGTCAAATTACTTGTAAAACAATTAATAATGATAAAATTGATCTGATCAACATAATAGCTTTTATGCCTTTATTATATGATTTTCCATGTCCATGCAGCCTCCATAGTTAATGAACCTCCATAAAATCAATAAAGTGCTTTTATTAAAGTAAAAACATATTTTGCGTGTGTGTCAAACATACATCACAGTTTACAAATGCCTTCAGGATATCTTCAACATGCTCAAACAGGATACATTAAACTTACCCAGAATCAAACCAACACTAACCCTGATCCGGTAGACCATTAAACAATTTGGCAATTAGTTAGTTAAGACCAAATACCAAAAGTTAAATTAGGTTTTAAATAAAGAATGAAAATAAATTCTGTGTCCAGGAATAATGGTGTGTGGATAATCGTAGCCAGAGCATTTGATTTATTTAGGCATAAAAATAAAATCAATGTCTTGTTATTACAACATCCCTTTTATAAATGCAAGATTGTAGCCTCAGATCCTTGTTTGCTACAGGAAGAATAAAGCTATATAAATGTCAAACAATTATGAGGTGACAGATATAGTTAATATTGGTTCAAGGACACAGGTTCATACAAAAAGTAGTGAGAGAGATACTGCAAGCTGTAAGTCAATAATCAATACTCGGATGTCTTCGAGCCTCACAAGGCTTTAAAAAAAACACTTACAGGAAGGAGTCAACAAAAGAACTATCAAGAAAAAAAAAATTCGCAACAAAATAAATAGCACTGTCAGCTACAAGAGGAAGGAACAGCATGAGATTCCCTAAAGATTCCCAAACAGAGCAGGGCAGGTTCTTCCACATCTATCAATCATCACATTTATCAGAACCTCAGTCAACAAACAATGCTGTCCAACCGCACGCATTTCTTTCCGAAACAAAAACAGCTGGTTTTCTTGTCACACATTCCCCTAGTCCTTTAGTGTAGCATGAGGTTTGGTTGGTGCCAGAAAAAGTGACCCAGAACTGCCACTTTCATGCTTTGCATTACAACATACATTTGGCGATCCAAGCGGTTTTATTGTATCATTTTACAAATTAGGCAGACTAAAAGCTTGAGGCGTATTGGCTTACATCGGGAATATTCCGGTCTGTATGAGTGCCTCTTACTCCAGTGAGGCACAGTGGTGTGGATTTATTGCCATTACAGTACAGATGCTTTAGTCAGAAGTGGTCTAATGACAAAAGCACACGGGGGTTAAGAATGGTACTGTCCTACTGCTTTGTGTGAAACATTCATTTCTTACACTTTCCTTGGCTGTGTATAAAATGGTTTTAAAAGGAACCAATAACTGGTGATCAGTTTTACCCTGAGATATAGTATTAATATAAACCTAAAGCTAATGTTAATGCAAAAAGACGTCCTTTCTATCAAAACAAACAAAAAATGTATCTAGTCATTACTGTCAAGATGTACAAACTCACACAGGATCATGTTTGGACTGCCAAGCACATCACAACCTTTCTACCACATAATATAAAAAAAGCAGCACTGATTTTTTTATATAAAAAATACAAGCGTGATCACCTTTTTTAAAGGAGGGAAAGAAAGCGGAAAGCTATGGAAGCTTGTTTCCGCCACTGAATAAAAATTTATCTCACAATTACGAGATATGAAGTCAGACTTGTGAGAAATAAAGTCAGAATTGCGTGATATAAAGTCGCAATTCGGAGAAAAAATTACAGAAGTGCGACTTCTTATCTCACAATTCTGACTTTTTTTCTCACAATTGCGAGTTTACATCTCGCAATTCTGACTTTATAATGCATATTTGCGAGTATATATGTCGAAATTCACAATTTCTCAAAATTGTGAGATACAAACTCGCAATTGCGAGTTATCAGGCCAATTCTAAGAAGAAAAAAAGACTAACTTTTTTCCCCCTCAGACTAGTTTAAATCTCACAATTCTGACTTAAACACGCAATTGCGACTTTTTATCACGCAATTGCGACTTGATATCTCGCAATTCTGACTTTATAACACACAATTGCGACTTTATATAACGCAATTCTGACTTTATATCTCGCAATTCTGACTTTACATCTCTCAATTCTGACTTCACAACTCTCAATTCTGAGAAATAAAGTCAGAATTGCGAGATAAAAAGTCACAATTACCTTTTTTATTTTTCATTCAGTGGCGGAAACAAGCTTCCATAGAAAGCAGTAAAAATCATGAAAAAAAAAAAAAAATTGCTTATTTTTTGGATAAGGAAGCAGAACCTTCCAGATGTCGGCTCCAAACTGAATATGTAACTAAGTTAAGTCGTATGTCAGTGGCCACAGAGAGCTGCGTGAATCTGAAGAAAGGTATAAATAAAAAAAGGTTTTAATGGTTATGGCAATAACAGGAACTCCCTTTGTCTTTCATTCCCTCATCTTACTTCGTCACTTTTCCATTAAGGAGAGTTGTAAAATCCTCTCTAATTCCTCCTCTTCTTCTTTCCTTCTCCTTTCTTCCTCCTCCTGTGCCCGGGCCGAAAGCTCCATAGCCAATCGCAGGTCAGTGTCGGGGCTGGAGGTGGAGACAGAGCTGGAGGGTGTGGTGTCACTGAGGTCTACTAAAACTCCCTCAGACTCAGACCTGTGGTTATGTGACAGAACATAACAACACAATTTAAGAAAATGTACACAGGAATGAACAGAGCACTTAGAAACACCACTCTACCTATACTTCTCCTCTGCTAAATAGACTACGGATCAAAAGGCTGGGGTCAAAGAGATTTTTTACAGTTAAACAGCTATATTGTGAAATAGTATTATAATTTTAAATAACTGTTTTCTACTTGAATATATTTTAAAATGCAATTTGTTCCTGTGATGGTCTTCAGAGTCACATGATCATTTAGAATTCATTCTAATATGATGATTTGGTGCTCAAAAAACAATACTTATTATCAATGTTGAAAATAGTAGTGCTGCTTAATATTTTTGAGGAAAGTGTGACATATTTCAGGATGTTTTGATGAATTGAAATTTCAAAAGAACATTATAAAAGTATTATACATGTTTTCGAATGTTCGTTGAACTATGCTCATAACGACAGAACTTGCAAACCTAGTTGGCTAACAATGCTTTTGGGAAACGCACCCCAGTATGTGAAACTCTATTTGCCCCAGAACAAAAGACTGACATATAATGCAGAAATTACCCATCACTCAACCGGTTCATCATGGATTGTGTCGCCTGTCCATCAGAATCACTCAAAGTTTCCTACAAAAAAGACCCACCACACTGCATATTAGAGACAGACAACATCAAGTATTGCACAAAATACAGTCACAGGAAGCTTTCTGACCTGTGAATTAAGTGCACTAGACTCAAGCAGGCTCTGGTGGATGGCGTACTGGAGCAGCTCTTCATCATGGTGCACTGGGTTGTACTGGCGTGTGTTGGAGTGGCGGTTGCCTCCTCGGTGGTGATAGTGTGAAGGTGCCATGAACACAGACGGACACACCTCGAATTGATCAGGTTCTGCAGGAGCAACTAAACAACATTTAGTGAAAATACAAGTAAGAACATTTCCCTGCTGGACCAAACCAAATAGCCCATTCTTAATATGAGATCAAGTGCTTGAGATGGTTTGTGATTGACATAGTTTAAGACATAGTTCACCCCCCAAAAAATCATATTCTGTCATCATTTTCTCAACTTGAAGTTCTTCCAAACCTGTATTAACTTCGTTCTTATGTTGAACACAAAAGAAGATATTTTGAAGAATGTCAGTGACCAAACAGTTGGTGTACCCCATTGACTTCCATAGTCATTTTTTTCCCATACTATGGAAGTCAATGGGGTCCATCAACTGTTAGGTTAAACATATACTGTATATTCTTCAAAATATATCTTCTTTTGTATTCAGCAGAAGAAAGAAATTCATTAGAAGAACTTCTCATTAGAAGTTATTCAAACAGACGGGGAACAAATCAGTCTATTTCCAAACCTGAAGCCTGGTTGTCACACTTCTCTTCTGTAGGTGTGGGTGTAGAAGCTGATTGGTTGGTGTCCAGAGGCTCATCTGTACTGCACTTGTTGACGTTTCCAAATGTGATGCGGGCATTCAACACATGGAACAGTGGGATTTCTGCAGGAACACAACAGAAGTAGAACCAGTTATATTGAAGCCATTAACACAAGCAATATATATATATATATATATATATATATATAAAAAATTGATATCTGTATTCTCTGTCTGATGACCAAAATTTAAGCAGAAATGTTTTACAAAGTTTTCTTTAAAAGACAACACCTAAGTTCAGGCTGGAAACATTAAAGCATTCTTGAAAACAGGAAAGTAAGATTAGTTAATACTAAACCATCTTCCATACATAATTTGCAAATGTTTAGTTGACTGTTATAAGTGTACTTGTAGTTTTGTTGAAGGTTAGATAAGTTAATATTCAAGCTGAAGCAAAGCATAGAATTAATTTTTTAACTTCAAAACTGAGGAGTAGGGCTGTTTGTTCCTCTTTTTAATTCTTCCACTCACCGATCTTCACAGGAAAGCCAGGGGGAAACCTGAGGTTGATGAAGTCCTTGAGTCGGGCAAAGTGAGTGCTGGTGCGAGCCATCAGGTCAATGATGGGAGTGACCTGCTCCACCAGAGACAGAGGATGCTCCTCGCTCATCCACAGGGTGCCTTTAAACCTGAGAAGGATGTCACAAAAACTCAAACCATTTTCTTAAATTCTTACACACGCACACTCTAACTCATTGAGGTCAGTAAGATTGTAATTTCACAATGTAACCGTTTTTCATTAAATAAATGCAGTCTTGGTGAGTATAAGAGACTTTTTCTAAAACAAATTATACAGCAGTGTGTGCATTTATAATATATAAAATGTATTTATTTTGTGTCAGCATATGTGCTAAATAAATAAATAAGGAGGTAATAATTGGATCATTATTGCAGTGATTACTATGTTTCTAGCATATTATATGTTTGCTAACAGTTGTTCTGACCCTGATTGATGGAGTGTACAGAGTGCTGGACTCTTGCATTGTCATTACAAGATCTTGACCAAAAATAGATGCACCTGGATCATTATTTCAGTGATTATTATGATTCTATCATGTTTTTTGTTTGGTAACAGTTCTTCTAACCCTAATTGATGGTATGTGTGTAGCTTTTCATTTCAAAGAGGTAAATCGATTTTTGGTCAAGATCTTGTATGGACAATGCAAGAGTACAGGACTCTGTAAAGTCTCCTCCAGAACATCCCAAATATTTTCAATGAAATTAAGGTCTGGATTGGTGCCAATTCATGTGTGAAAATGTCTAGTTTAAGAAATGAAAAGCTACAAACTCAATTAGTCAGAAGAACTTTTGCCAAACATAAAACATGCTAGACTCATAATCACTGAAGTAACGATCCAATCATTGACTCCTAAGCATTTGCCAATTTAAATCCAAACCACAACCTTATATTTGACTGGGCAGTGTATATGTATGTATATACTTCACAAAAACACACTTTTTTATTAAAAAAATAAATAAAATTGTGAAGTTGAGTGAATGTCCTGTCTTACTTCTGTGTTCTGATGGTGAGCTCAAAGGGTCGACCAATATCTCTACCCTGCAGGTCGAAGTTGGGGTTAAAGTACTCCTCTGGAGTAATAGCTGTGGGGTTTGTGGCAGTGGCAAACTCCATAGTCATGTCCTGTAATCATACATAGAAATAAAATACAGAATCCTTTTAGCTTTGTAAAATACAGTGGTCATAAAAAAACACTGGGAGACACTTAGTCACCATGAAATCAAAACTGACAATTCTTTTTTCTTAATGAAATATTACAGTATTTGAAATGATTTCAAGTGCACATCCTGTGTCCCCTTCATCTTTAATCAAAATAACTCATCTCTTCCAGCAATATTTCTTCTCTGATGACGAGTTTAATGTTACAAGGGTCACTCACATAAGATCCAATAGCAAACCACAACCATCCAATCAATTTCCGATTGTTAAACGATGTTGTTTACTACATGCATCACAATAGGGAAGAAAAGACTAATCGCAAATTCTGTTTCATGTTGACTTTAAGCCACATGAAAGTATGAATGTCACTGTGTTAGTTTCCTATTCAAAATATACACAAAATATTTGGAACATGTTCATAGTTAATGTAATGAACTAAAGAAAAAAGGATTCATAGACCCACTAAAAATCACCTTGAGACCTGTTGGTTAAAATTCATTTCTAAAATGTCTTAGAATTCTTAATTTATTTTCCTGAAAAATGCCGCTTGATTTGATATTTTGCATTCAATTTAATGACAGACATACATTCTTAAGTGTCAAAAAAGTTAAGAAGAAAATAAATTCAGTGTCCGTTTCGTGTGCTCGTCTTACCCCTTGAGCACCGATCTGTTGTTCTACGGTGCCGAGTAAAGATTCCAGAACATTCCTTTCACCTGTGGAGATCAAAAGCATCAGAAATTAATAATAATCATTTCACATAACAAAGAACTGCAGGGAACTATTGACTCTTTACCACCGACAAGGGTGCTAGATCCCAATGTGGGACAATTTCATGAGCTTTCATTGGCGGAAAAGCAATTATGGGCTTTAAACTGATCCCTCCAACAGGAAACTGATAATGTCAGAGGCCAGGGGACAAGATCACATTTGACTGCTCCTCAAATCTGTTTACAACAGAAACACAAATGCGGTGATAGTCGCATGTTCGAATGACACATTTTGTTAATAGGTTTGTCACCCCACACAGCCGCTCCACATTTTCTCTGTCCATCTATTCAATATGTGGAAATTGATTCTTCTAACTTTAGCCCATTCCATCAAAAGCAGCTTGTGATTGCATAACACACTGAATCAAAATACTCCATGTTACACTGGTTAGACAAAGACTGTGGTGTGCTAGATTGTTTGTGTGAATAACATCACAGCTCATCATTCAAGTAAGTGGAAACATAGGTCGGTTTTGAGAGAGATTAGCAGTTTCCCGGTCGAGCATCAGAACCATTTTGGTGGAAAAGGGGTATGATATATATAGTGTAAATCTTAAAGTGGGTTAATTACTTTTTATCCTGGCCTTCTCCTCGTCTGTGAGGTGCTCCGTCCTGGTGCGAATCACAACGTTCACATTGTTCACTGAAAAAACCTGCCAAAAGCAGCATCATCACCCACAGCACAAAGACTGCCTTATTCTTAAACTCACTACTCTAAAAAGAAAGTCTGATGTTTCTGAATATTAACTTTTCACTTTGGAGCATCTGTAGTTCTAAAATAGCAAATTTTCTCATTCCAATGATTCATAATGGTATTATAGTTCATGGCTCACCTTGGCTTCAAATCCATTTACTACTTCTGTTCTGTCTGACCTCCAACCCCAGATACCAGATTTACACCTGAACACAGAATTTAATAGCATGAAACAGTTTTAATAGCATCTCTGATTTAAACTTCAGCAACAAAAACGGTGTTAAGAGTTTAATTTCAATGAATCAAGTCAGATTAGAGTTTTGAGTCAATGTTCAAAAATATTCACCCAAATCCATATATTTTCATATACACTATTGTTCAAAAGTTTGGGGTCAGTAAGATTTTTATTGAATGAAATTAACACTTTTTTCCGGCAAGGATGCAATAAATTGTAAATTGATAAAATTACAGTAAAGACAATAACAAAAAAATTAAGTAACAAAACTATTACACACACACACATATATATATATATATATATATACAGGGCCTGAAGTTAATTTTTTCGGCCACCGGCCACTGTGGCAGGTGGATTTAAAAATTCACCTGCCACAGAGACTTTTTACCAGCCATTTTTTTTTTTTGCCTCATAAACGTAAAAAAAAAACAAAAAAAACCCGGGAATTTCACAATATTGTTCTTTAACTTGTAAGAACACACATTTAAGTGCTGTCAAGTAATAATAACTCTAATAACATACATTTAAAAAAAAAAATCTTTTTATTCATTGATTTTGACAGACACACACACACACACACACACTAATATATATATATATATATATATATACATATAATAAAGTAACAAATATATATATATATATATATATATATTTCAAATAAAAGCTGTTTTTCTGAACATCTGAATCATCAAATAATCTTGAAAAACATGAACCAGGGGTTCCAGAAAAATATTAAGCAGCATTGAAGCAGCATTCAACATTGCGTGAGCTTAGAATTATAAGGTTCTATCTCCACTTTTGGTCGAAATTGAGTTTTTGACATAATCTGATCCATTAGGTGTTTATTAATGCCTGTGTGGTGTTATTTTTGTAAAAAAAATATTTTGTTAGTAGTTATTAATAAAATAAAAAGGTTCCATCTCACAAAACATAAACCGAGTTGGGATTATAAGGTTCTATCTCCAGTAGATTCAATATCCAATCAAAACCCTGAATGAACACGGACGGACAAATCAAAACCCACCTCTTAGCTCTGTAGCCTGACAAGATTGTGAGTAAGATTGTGTTTTGTATAAACACTGCTTTGTTTTGCGGTATTGGAAAAGTATCTGGGAAACCAATGGCACAGATAGAAAATGTGGCATAAAGACAACTACAGAGAAAATAATTTTATACGAAAACACCCTTCAATTTAGGAAGTACTGTACAGGTGCTAAGCAATGCAATTGTCAGGTATTAGGTGTTGATTAATGCCTGTGTGGTGTTATTTTTGTAAAAAAAAATATTTTGTTAGTAGTTATTAATAAAATACAAAGGTTCCATCTCACAAAACATTAACCAAGTTGGGATTATAAGGTTCTATCTCCACTAGATTCAATATCCAAGCAATGCAACTGTGACTGTTTATCCTGTTGAGTCCTGGACAGTGCCTCAGTGGGTCCCATTGTCTAATCTTTCTAATATTTATCCATGTTCAAGTACATGCCTGCAGTTGACAAAGCGTACTACAAGGCAGTATTTAGAAAGTAAAGATAGAAGGTTGGAAACTTGAGTCATGACAACATAAATTACATAACATGAAGTACATCATACATAACAAAACAGACATACAGAATAATAAGGGATGAAAACATAATTTTCATGATGTTACAATATTTTGTGTTAATCTACTAAATTAAACGTTTTTAATGTAAGATGCTTCCTAAATGTTTTTTTACAGTACAGAGGAGTGAGGTGTAGTATTGTGTAATTACTCCATGTCCATGTTCTTTGAAAATATTTTTTTTTCTTACAAACTTGCTTGCTTGGCTTTGATACTATACTATTATATTATATTATCAATGGTTATATACAATTATTCTTTGAAATGTGGGGTTTTATTTGTAAAAGTGGAGATAGAACCTTATAATTCCAAACAGAATCAGAGCTCTCAGACTTAAAAGGTTCTATCTCCATTGGGGTCATCTTAAAAAATCCCATTTCAAAATGTGCCAGGATTTTGATATTTTATTCACAAAGTACCTGTAGGGTGATGGTCTTGTTGAGCTATAATAGAAGATTATGCTACATAACAGTTTTGCCAGCTGGGATGTAAAAACTTTGATGCTCAATATCTCAGAACTACCCTAAACGGAGATAGAACCTTATAATTCTAAGCTCACGATTGATAAAAATAAGAAATGTTTCCTAGGCACTAAATCAGCATATTAGAATGATTTCTGAAGGATCATGTGACTGGAGTAATGATGAAAATTCAGCTTTGCCATCACAGGAAAGTGGAAAACAGTTATATAAAAAAATAGAAAGTAGTTATTTTACAATGTAATAATATTTCACAACATTACGTTTTTTACTGCATTTCAAATAAATTCAGCCTTGGTGAGCATAAGAGACTTCTTTCAAAAACATTAAAAAGTCTAACTAACCCTAATCTTTTGAACAGTAGTACATTCATTAGAAGTAAATAGTATATACGTGGCCATACCTCTCAAACGCAATGTCTCTTGTGTCCAGATATGTGTTAACAATAGGTGTTGTCAGCCTCTTGGCAACTTCCTGTTCAGCGGGCTGCATGGAGTCCAGAGTGACATCCTCGATCTCGCGGGAGAGATCAAAGCGCTCAGTGTCCACCACCTCGTCCTCGTGATTAACTTCCATCAGCTCAGTGCAGTTGTCTGTGAGAACACACGTTACTGATTATGTTGTTGTAGCTTCAGAAGAATTCACAGCACGTTTGCTAGAACCCCACCACCAAATGAATGTGTAAACCACAGATGGGTGAACTAGACTGGACAGTCAGAGTGAATAACTAACTCTCTTCTCTGAAGATATAGCTTCTTCTTCCTCTGATCCAGGTCATGTTGTCAAAGCCCAGCAGGGTGGTGTCCACTCTCAGACAGGCCCCACTCTTCCAGATTCTGCACACGTCGCTGGGACACACGCGGGACACCAGAGGAACTGGAGTGAGAAAGAAGCACAAGATGAGGATCATTCAACATCCTAAAAAATTCATAAGGATTCATGAGAGGAGATAAAAAGCACTTACTCCAGCTAGTAAACTCCCACTTCATCTCCATGTAGAAATCTGGAGACTGGGATAAAAAGAGCTTCATTACACTCTTCAGGCCCTTTCACATGACTTGCATCAGGGCTTCAACCAGAAGCTGCTCCTGACTAAATTTAGGTAGGGCTGATTCTGGGTCTTAGCTCAGACATTTTGTAAGATTTACATTCTAATCACTGAACACATGCATAACACTCTTGGCAGAGGTGTTATTCAGCCTTGGGGTGGAGTGTCTAATGTTGATTGACAAGCTTTAAGTAGTACACATGATACACGTATAGAATGCTATCTTAGCATTGGCTTAACGTAATAGAAAATCCTAAACAAAATTTGTTTCAGATAATGCAGGATGCTAAACACATTAACAATTTATTATTGAGTCAGTTTCTATGTCCTTGCTGGCTTAAACACAAGTGTCATGTGCCACGTCACAGTCAAAAATGAAAGTAAAAGTTACAATATTTGAGCTTAGAACAGTGCCAAATTAAAAAAAAAGTTGGATTGCTGAAAGAATTGCTGACAAAAATATTAAGCAGCATGGCTGTTTTCAACACTGATCATAAATAAGAAATGTTTCTTGAGCACCAAATCAGCATATCAGAATTTGAATGATTTCTGAAGGATCATTGTACTAATGAATGGACTAATTAAATGTTATCATATTTCACAATAGTACTGTTTCTTCAGTATTTTGACAGACGCACCTCTCGGATCTTGCACAGTAGCTCTGGAACGCCACCCAACGCAGTGGAGGCTTTGACATAATCTCGTCGCTGGAGCACCAGCTGCACCATCTCAGGATCTCCTGTGCTAACCGCTTCCTGTAGCACTGTACAGACAACACGATATATGATATATGACATTTATGCTTACCCAAGGATATAGACTTGTAATGGAAAGGTAAACATACTAGTCTAGAACCACTATATACTGTAATACACATGACAAAAAAGACTAATGACCATTAAGGAGGGGATTATTAGAGTATTTATAAAGCAAAAAAGCTGAAACAGAGATACTAAACACTTTCATTGGCTGGAAAAACCACTGATGACACAAGCCGAGGAAGTGGTGGTGGTAATAGTTCTAATGGCATTCTTGTGAGAGCCAATGAAGTTTACTTTGAAGACTGCCATGTCTTCAAACCACTATGGCTTCATTCTCACCTGTCCAATGTTTGTCATTTTCTTTGGAAACATCCGCGCCGTGTCTGAGCAGCACTCTCACGGACTCCAAGTGTCCAAGTGAGACGGCCAGGTGCAGAGGGGTCCGGCCCCGGGGATCCACCTCTTCAATGTAATTCTGAAAGGAGTGTAAACACAGACAGTTCATATGTTATGGGGGAAACTGAAAAGTGGCAATAATTATAAGCATTGCTGCATGGCTTGTGGGTGAGGAGATGTGGAACGCAACTGTAATTAACCAGAATATTAGACCCTCTTCCTGTGAAACGATGTCATGATGTCTGATTTATCAGTCACCTACAGCATGAGGTTTTCAATCTTTAGATGCCACATAGAGTGGGGAAAATAATTATTTGATCCCCTGCTGATTTTGTAAGTTTGCCCACTTAAAAAGAAATGAAGGGTCTATATTTTTGTATGGTAAGTTTATTTTAACAGATAGAATATGAAACAAAAAAAAAATCAAGAAACAACACATTATATTAAGGTTTACAATCTGGTCCCTGACGTTTGACAGCTCTTTGGTCTTTCCCATTGTGGTGGAGATGTTGGAATGGAAGATACAGATTCTGTGGACAGGTGTCGACTGACATTAGGACATTAGGAGTACTTTCCTAAAGTGACAGGGCTAATCTGTGTCCTACATGGGCAGATAACAAATCTGTGGGAAGCAGAATTCTTGCTGGTTGGTAGGAGACAAAACACTTATTTCACTCGATAAAATGCTAATCAATTTAACTACTAGCTTTATATAATGCTTGTAATTATATGTTTGGTTAATATTCTCTCTCTATCTGTTAAAATAAACCTAAAATAAAAAATATAGACCCTTCATTTCTTTGTAAGTGGGCAAACTTACAAAATCAGCAGGAGATAAAATAATTATTTTCCCACTGTACCCACAAATATGATCATCCTCATGTGAGGGACCACTCGTCCTAAAATGTAAAAGGCATGCATTTATATAAATGGGGACTAAATTACATAATGTGCAAAATGTAATTTAGTTTCGTTTACGTTTGTTTCTACTACTGTTTGTGTTATTAATTATTATCAACATTTTTAACACCGAAATTCTCCAATAAAAGGCATCTAATAGCATGGAGCATTATTTAAAGTGAATCTCTACCAGCTCTCCAGTGCAATGCAAAACAGCAGGGCTGTGGCTAACAAGTGGATGGCAAGCTGATGAAGCATTTTGCAGTGAGATCCAATAATGCACCAAGTCCAATTTCATTAGATTATTAAAATCATGACACGCATGTCATGACATCCACAGGAGGCAGAAATCTCTCAGCGGTCAAATCATTGATTCATTTGGCCATTAGCTTCATAGTAGTGTGTCCAGACATCAGCAGCATTTACGGATATCTCACACATACCGTCTGTAGCTCTTTTTCCAGCTTCCTGTAATCATTTTCCCACACCAGGATATGCAGTGGAAACCTGAGTCTGAAATCCTCGACGCTAGCAGCGGTGGCGGATAACATTCTGGCTCGATCTAACTCTCCGTGTCTCAGCCTCCGAAATCAAGAGCCAGCCTTCGAGCTAGCTACTGTCATGAACCATCTAACCTCTTCATGCGTCTAATTCATTCCTGATAAATATACAGAGACTCTGGCTATTAAACAGATGAAGACGCCTAAGCAAAGGAGACGCCGAAAACGCAACCAACTTTTTTCAAAATAAACTTTTGAAAAACAAGGAAGTGGCAGGTTGAAACTATTTGAGTAGGGGTGTATCCAGTCATTTGAAAAACGGTTCCCCAAAACCTTTTAGCATTTAGTTGTATTTATAAATATTGTTCTCAACATAAAATGGCCGATAAGAGCCTAATTAGCTGTACATGCTCTGTCACAAAATTGTAAAGGATACATTATTATTTTTTTTAATTAAAATTGACAAGCCCAACGCCAGACTAAACCATTCCATATGAAGGAGGGGTGGTCGTGTTCTAAAACATGTTAAAATCTCTTAAATCAACAAGTGAATTTTACATTGTCTTAATTATATTAAATAAGATAAAATAAAATGTATCAGTAAACAATTGTAATAATTAATATCACTGGTACTGTATGAAATTCGTTCGCCTGTAAGGGTAAGCGCGACACCGCCCTCTCTCTGTGTTTTAAATGATCTTTAGCTCATCCTCGCGACTGGAGCCGCTCCTGCGCATGCGCGGGAACGAATGCAGTATGTTGTGAAGATTGCGTCCTACTAGATGATGTCGTGCATTTCATTTCCCGACACTGTTTGTTTGGCACATTTGAGTTTGTAGATATATTCCAAACATAAAGAGGATTAATTTGTTTTCAGACTTACTTATTCAATATTATCGTCTCATGGCCTGTAAATGAATGGATAAATGAATCAAATATCTCATGCGTTGCAGTGAAGCGTCTGTCCACTGTGTGTCAGGCAGCGCTAGAAAGCTGATTTATCGAGACACTCAAATGTGTGGTCTGGGAGGGCAGATGGCAGCACTCTACTGCAATCTGATGGGTTACTTGCAGTGGCAAGCATTTCCGTAGTGTAGTTTTTAATGCACGGTATAATGACATAGGCTTCACTGCCTGACTTGTCTGTCCTAATTTCAAGCTAGATAGTACGACATAAATTATTCCACACACTGCGCTCGCACCTATTCGCACACATCGATCTCCTCCGTATGCGCGTCCTCTTCTTCGGGTATGAGATCCTCTTTCAGTGATACAATACTTTTAAACGGATCCCGTCATTATGTCAAAGCGGTGCATGCTTTAAATTTATCCGTAGACCATTCTGAGTCGATAATAGATGGTAATACCCGCGTTACCGGAGACAAGGATGTCGAAACGGCTGCGAAATAGCGAAGTTTGTGCGGACTGCAGCAGTTCGGGTGAGTATATTCTGCTTCTATAGAATTTTTAGGAAAAGACTCAACTTGTTCTGGACAGCCAAGTGATATTGCCGTATTAAATGACCGAATGATAACATTTAGCTATACAAATATATGATTCAGTGGAAATGACTGAATAGTTAATGTGTGCTTTTTGGAGCATGATGATGTTATTGCCATTGGCCGTGGGCCGTGGCTCAAAACCTAGTGAGGTGTCTACCTAGACAGCATTTTATGCTTCAGTTCATGCGCGTGCCCAAAGATTCTGCTCTTTTCCAGCTAGCAGCTAGTGGGTTTTGAGACCGAGCCGCATGCAGTGTTGACTAAATTTTACGGGTTTTCTCTAGTTTCTAATGAAGCTGTGAAGGTTTGGGAGCAATCATTGTATCTCACTTCACCTTTTTGTCTGTGGAGAAATGGGTAAACATACTTGACCCCTATTTCAGGTGAAAACATCGACAACATCCAAGTTTCCATTCATTAGGGCTACTAACAAGTGACCCTAAACAACACATGCAGTGTCCTGACTTTTGAGAGATAGAAAAAATAAATAAGATGTCACACAGCATTTTTTTCATAACTACACCATGTTCATGGGTAATGATTTGATTTGTCTTTGTGATAAATGCATTGACCATGAATGATTACAAATTCATGAGGGATTTGACCTCCTAAGACTATGCATGACCTGAACAACATTTATTTGATTTGATAAATGTGTAGAGAACAGTTTCATAGGCCTTCATTTATGTAGTGTAGGGCAGGCTACTGTATTTAGGAAAGACCAATTTTAGTGTTTGAACTATAAAACATGGTTAACTTTCTGTCCTGTGATGTGTTTGGTGCTGTTTTCTCCTCATTCCCCATATTGATTCCTCTTGATTCGTTACGCCTCAGACACCAGCTGGCCTGGGCTGCCCCAGCATGTCAGGGGGGATCATTGGGCAGTTGTTGTTAGGGTGAATATTTTTAGTCATTCAGCACTGGGTTTTATTTTAGCCGCCGCAACACTTGATGGGGAAGACATCAGCCCTTAGTTAGGAGAGGGAGGGAGAATGAGGGTGAGAGGGGAATGATGCTGGTGCCAGGTGCTTGATTCTGGCCCTTGGCCTCTTTGCAGCTGTTGTTTGATACTTCCTGTGCATGAAGGGAAGTGATTTGCTTCTAGTCTGCTCTCTGCTTATCAGTGGATCAGTTTTTAATTTAGATAACTCATGTTTCTGTTAGACTGATGCTATTGTGGTATCATCTATCCCATCAAGCTGGCTGTGAAATCCAAATTGGTCACAAACTTCATAAGTGTCAGAGACTTTAAATGGGTCATGAACTGGCTTTTTTTTTTAAATGTATTTTGTTGTATGAGGTCAACTTATGATGTTCGCTTGGTTTTTACTTTTTAAAAAAAGCATCGGTTTACGGGTGTCTCCCATTGAAGAATTGGAAGTGAACGCCCACTGCTGTGAGTGGATAACAGTTTTGCATATTATAATAAGTTTCACTCTCAACCCAGTTTGTCATCATGTGGTAGGCCTATGTTATTTAGCTATGCGTATAATGCGCGAATAGGTGGGCGGTGGCTAAACCGGCCGTGTTGAAGTAGGCGTCGATCTTCTTCTGCGGGGGTGGTGTTTTATCCCCTCTGACGTTATAGTTACTCAGTTTGAAAAACGAGTCGTTTGCTGAGCCTGGTGTCAATAAAAGTTTTTATTGGACTAACAAGGACGTTTTCAGTTCTGAAACTTCACAGGATATTCTTATAATATGATGACCTCTTAGATGTCAAAAGCTCAAGAAAAATTTGATTTCTCACTTCATCACCCCTTTAATGACCTGCTTACTTGATGCAGTACAAGCATGCGTTTTAGTCCAGATTTAACACTTGTAATCCTCCGTGGTCAAAAAATAGACATAAGACAATAAGCGTAATTTTAAAAAATGTACTATATTTTGTTTCAATAATATTTATTCTTTAACATTTTGTATTTTTAGGGTATTTCATGGTACTTGACAATATTAACCTCTAAATGAACGATACATCATTTATTTCAATTTAAAATAATACAAATAATTTAAAATAATATGTATACTGTATATAGGAATCCATCTATTTTCCCTAGTTCCTTATAAGTGTATTTTCAGGCTTAAAAATTGCTCTGAATTTTCACATTTCATTTTTCCCATTCATTTTATTGTGCGTGGGCTTTTTCACCACAATGTTCAAGGGTAACTATGTTTAAGATCATTTAGCTTTTTGTGTTCATAAAGGAGGTGTTACAAAAGTTACCTAGTTTTGTAGTACCTTCATTTTTAATAAAGTACAAAAATTGCAAAAGTTTGTTAGTTAACGTATATTTGATTGTCTAAAATGACTAAAGACCCCAACAGGGTTAAACGAAAATGGCTGTTGACCTTGGTCCATATATCTGTTCCAATTTTAATCTTCCGTATAAGAATGGGAAAAATAATGAATTAATATTTGCAGAAATGAAAATAAATGTTTGCCTGTTATCAGTCTGAATATAAAATCCTCAAAACTCTGTTCTTGGGGAATTCTGACTGACACTCTTAAGCGCTGACTCAAATCGTTGTTTCTGAAGGAAGTGAAATCACAAGTTGGCCTGAATCTGTCCTTGGGAAAAGTTGAGGGGGTGGAGGGACTGCTCAGACACATTAGTCACAGGTCCAGTGTGATTGACCCCACTTTCACTCATTTGGCATCATGACTCAGTGAAGGAGGGAGGCTATGTATGACATATTCTATTAAAAACTGCCTTGGAATGTGACAAGTGTTGAGTGACAAGTGTTGATTCTGTCTCAGTCTAGGTCGTTGAGTTTGTCTAGTGTTGTGGTGACTCTGAGTGATTTAGGTCTCAGCTGGCGAGAGGTATAAAGGGAGTTATAAAACTTTCCATATCTTCTGTTGTTGTTGACTTTCAAGGCAGTTTTTAGCCATGTTTGTTGCATGTGTTTCATTGCTAAATCACTCTTCAGTTGTTGGTTATACATTTACGCATACTACAAAAAATCATGTTCAGCCTATTACATTTTATGTAAAAAATGTGTTGTATTTATGTAGTTCATTAGATTTTTGGTTTATTTAATACTGTATTTTTCGGTTGCTCAGTGTCTGAATCTGAAGTGAAACCAGTTTAGAATCACGCTGCAGTTGACGGCCCTTTTGGAGGTAGTGAAACTAAGAAGCCGCAGTGTTTCCCTGTTCACCTGCTCATACCCTGGAAGTAAAGCTCAGCTGCTTAGCATTTGTTGTGGTTTGAAGCATGTGTATGTAAGAGGAAGTTAGCGCGTTTACAGCCATACATGAACGGATGACATTCACCCTTTACTACTGTGGCCTTATAAGGAAGAACTGAGCACCACATTTAGCTGTCGTCATATATTACATCACATGCATATCAAAGCTACATTTTAGACATCTGTGCTACTAGTTATCAGACATTTATAGTGGAACATAAGCAAATTAATACATACTATGTATACACCAAATGCATTTTTAATTTTTGTTTGTAGTGTAAATAATACATTTTGAAGTCAAAATGAAATCAAAAGGTTTGCTTTCTTAATTCTCATTTCTGATGATACGATACCTTTGTGCATTTTCTCAAGTGCTAAGAAGCATCTTTCCTCCATGAGCCTTTTAAAAGTATTGTGTTTCTGTTTCCATTCTCATGCACCAACCAAAAAGCTCCATTATCACATATCGTGTACTGATCAATGATCCACGCACTGCTGACTCTGAGACACGCTGTTGTTTACTTCCTGTGAATCTGTTGATTTTTCTCGGGGTCCCTTAGATCCTCGCTGGGCGTCTGTGAACAGAGGCGTTCTGATATGTGACGAGTGCTGCGGCGTTCACCGCAGTCTGGGCCGCCACAACTCGCAAGTGCGGCATTTGTCAAACACCTCCTGGCCGCCCACCCAGCTACAGGTGAGCCCACTCAGACAAATAGACACCCTATCCA